AAAAAAAAAAAACCCCAAATCCCCAAAAAACAACTTGGCCCAATTTCTAATTTTTACGGAGGAGATGGGAGAGTGTTCCATAAGTTACATGATGTTACAATAAACCCAGTCATTTCATAATGCAGTACTATCTTAAAAACAACAACAACACAAAAAAAACAGAAACCCCAAAAGCACCTCCAACCTATGAAATGCAGTTAAGTCCATCTAAACTCTTCCAGATTCATTTTAATGATGAGTAGAAAATTTCAACTCCAGAAATGCTCTAGGTTTAGCTCAAAGCAATATGGAAAGTACCAATTCTACCATAACACACAACTACTGATGCCTTTCAAAATTGTAAAGAAAAATGGCTTTAAAGACATACTTTAGACTGGGGCTTCTCACACATCTTGATATAACATTCTTATTTTTTGTAGCACTAGAGAGGGGCTTGGTATTCAAAAAAGGAAGCTTAAGACATCAAAAGCAAGAATATTTTAGCTTATTAGACTTATTACACCATCATTCTCTTTTTAGATTTAATGGTTTGTGTTTACAATAAATCAATTTCCTAGACCACTGCAGAATTAATTTTTTTTTTTTCTCTTTTTGACGCAGGGTCTCCCTGTAGCTCCAGCTGTCCTGGAGTCACTATGTAGACCAGGCTGGCCTTGAACTCAAGAGATCCGCCTGCCTCTGCCTCCTGAGTGCTGGGATTAAAGGCGTGTGCCACCACACCCGGCTAAGGAGAATTTTTTTTTTTTTAATTGTGTTTAAATTAGGTGACTATGATGAAATATACTGAACAAATTTCAGATAAATAACAGCCCATCAATGTCCCACCAAGATCACAGCTGGAAACAAGGATTTAGACCTTCAGTTAGCCCTTGTACTTAGAGATGTCAGTATCACTCCCACGTTTTATTCTGAAGCAGGGGTCTCAAGACAGAGGCCATCTGTACCTGAACATGGTGATCCTCCTGCCTCAGCCTCCCAAGAGCTGGGATTACAGGCATGTGTCACCATGTCTGGCTACCCTCCACATTATTTTATACATCATAACTACTCTATGTAAGTGGCCCATTACAAGCTCACTGGATTACTCTGAACCAGACTGTTTACTAAAAAACAAGATTTATACAAGGTATTCTTAATGTTCACCATTCCAGCAATTCAAGTTTTCTATAAAAAGCATGTCTGTGTATAATCGATCATTTGGAGCTACATTTAAGTTATGTCGGCATTTTAAAAAGAGCTCAAGTTTCTTAGTCTATTCAGCTGGACGCCAAAATCTTGGTGTGAACAGGGAGAAAGTGCATGTGTAGATGGTGTCAGGTGAACAAATTCAGAGGGCTCAAATAATGTCTATCCTGAAATTACAGTTTATGAAGCTCCTTATTATGTTGGTTCTAAGAAAAAAAGCTTATGGCAGACAAGATGCTAATAGGAGGCCACTGAGGTATACTCTATAATCATTTAACAGAAAAGAAATCCATACACACCACACGCACCCCATGTAAAACATTGCTTTAAGTTTTAATGTTTATTTCCCCAAGACAGCCTAGCCTGTATTCTACTTGGATAAATTATACAAGCTAGTTTTCTGCTGCTTCTAGTTTTAAACTTTAACCATGTTTCTGATGACAAGGAATGCTGCAAAAATACTCTAGTTCAACAAAGAGTTATGATCACAAAATAATTTTTATCCATTCTACAGTGTTTCAGAATTACCAGTTGATTTTAAACACAAAGTAGATATAGATGCTAATGGTGGCTAATCTGGTATGTTTCTTATAGCAAACTGTTGTTCATGCAACACTTGTGCTCAAAGGGGAAGGCACAGGATTTCCTACAATGAGCCACCTTATAAAGAGTTCTTTTGTACAAATTAATTTATGTCACATTTAATTTAGTGTGCATAACCTCAAAACTGAGGTATTATTCCAATTTATAAAAACCACTTGCATAACTTTTATGCAAGTTTTAAAAATACAAAGTTTTCTCCCTAAAGTGGCTCAAAATAGATTGTTCATGGCTGCCTACATCTAAGATAAAAAGATTCTAAAACAATTGAACAGATTAGGCATATTATTAAAGGTGTTCAAACCATTACTTGATTTGTACATCTACTCAAACCTCTTCATCGGTCTTTATTCAGCAGTACATATGCACCAAATTCCATTTTAGAAGTTTCCATATCATTTTCATAGAAAACAAAGTTTGAAAACAAGTAACATTTAAACACAGCACGGTATTCTATCACAACTGAAACTTTTTTCTTCTTCTTTACAAGACTCAACAAAATCTAAAAATGAACTATGCTGTAGATTTACTTCATGCAAAGATCATTATGTTATCTCTGAAAATGAAAAGAATGGCTTTTAAAGCACATTTTACTGTTTTATACTATTATGGCAACTTGTGTACTGCTACACAGTCTATTTTGAGGGAAATTTATGATTTTTTTCTTCATGCAAAAAATCTACACAAATTAGTTTTGATGATATGGAAAGCTTTTCATAGCATCAAACACTCATCTGGTGCAAATGCACAGGGAAACCTTCCTGAAGTTTTCTGACTTGAGAAGCAACTAAAAAAGCCATACTAGGTAAATAAAAACTAAATTAAAAAAAAAAAAAAGGAGTGGGGAGGGAGAATAGAAAACACAGGCTGCAGAGTAAACCAATGTCTGCTGCTAAACCGGTCTTTGTTTTCATGTCCAGTGTACATTAACACTTGTGATCTCACTGTGATGATCTACTGGGTTTGTTATCAGCCCCCTGAAGGCGACTCAAGCTTGCATGCGTCCACATACAGCACCACAACCACACTCTCGTACACAGTCACTCCAGGACTAGGAGTCTGCTTCATGAGTGAAGAGCCCTAGATTTGAAAGATGAACCTGGCTCTCTCATCACTGAGCCAGACATTCATTCAACACTGTCCATTCATACACTGCTTCACAGCAAGGCCTGGGCTCACTTCTTTGACTTTTATGGGCATTCTCTTTTATGCTTACAAGGCTTGAAGATGACAATATTTCACTTTCCCCTCATTGATACAGAGTAAGTCAATGTTCCTTCTCAGGCACTGAAGATCTGTGACCTATAGCCCTTTTTACTTTGAACAACCTAATAAGCATTCATGTAAAGTTTTCATTACATTTTGCCACTCATTCTCACTCGCACCCACTCGCCACCTTGACCTCATTTGGGCATTTTCTGTGATTCCAAATGAAATCTTCACATTTTCTCTCCCGATTTAATGCAGCAGCAGATCCCATGAGCCAAGCTTGATGGATCAAACCTTTATATATATATATATGTATATATATACATATATATACATATATATATGTATATATATATATCTCAGTGCTGCATTGTACCTAACTTCCACAACATCTTTCTAAAACTGGAACCCTTCTGTTGGTACATTGGCAGATGAGTTGAAACCAAATGTTCCACCTTGAATTGCTTCTGGAACAAGGCTAGGATCCTCATCAATCTAAGGGAAAAGAGAAAAAAAAAAAGTAAATAAAAAGAATGCAACTAGCTATAAGGTATACACAAAACTGAATCATAGTAAGATTTCCATCACTCCCTAAAAATATAGATGAGATCTAAGTGGTAAGTGCCAACAATGTTCTGCCATCCTTTAGCGAGCTGAAACATGCAAAAAGGTTTTCAGGAAAAAACAAGAATACACATAATAGAAATTTTACTGAAAAGGAAGCAACACAATAAACAAGAAACACCCCAGATTCCCACTGAGAGGGTAAACACTAGGACCTTTTTTTGATAACGTGCAAATGTACTATGAAACTTACTTCTTGAAAAGTGGAAAAAATAATTCATATTGACTGTGGTGGTTCATGCCTTGTAATCTGAGCACCTGGAAAGCTGAGGCAGGATCATTGTTGTAGAGTTTAAGGCCAACTTGAGATATATGGTAAGTTCAAAGTCAGCCTGACTATATAACAAAGCTCTTTTTGGTTTTTGGCAAAGGGTCTCCCTGTAGTCACAGCTAGCCTGGATTCACTATGGAGATCAGGCTGGCCTCAAACTCACAGAGATCTATCTACCTGCCTCTGCCTCCTGAGTGTGGGGAGTAAAGGCACACGGCATCACACCCACCTATGACAAAGCCTTTTTTTTTTTTTTTTCAAAAAAAAAAAAAGTATTTTATTTAGTATTTTTATTTTATGTGTATGAGCGTATTGCCTGCATGTATGTGAGTGTACCCATGTCATGGAATGCCTTGGAAGTCAGAAGAGGGCTTTGGATTCCCTTGGAACTGGAGTGAAGGATGGTTTGAGGCCACCATGTGGGTCCTCTGCAAGAGCAGTCAGTGCTCTTAACCACTGAACCATCTCTCTAGCCCCCAAAGCATTTTTTAAACAAAACCAAACCAAACAAATAATTCTTCAATTTCAACTATTATATGGTGACAATCTGACTTAAGATATTTTTGTACAACATTCTATACACTGTAGTATATCTTTCACTTTTGTCAATTTACTTTTCATCTTGTCTTTATCTTATTTGCTTTTAATCACCAACCAAAATGACATTTTCAAATATAAATTTAAAATCATAAAGGTTTTACAAGATATAGTAGCATCACTGTTATCCTTTTTTGTTTGTTTGCTTTCTTTTCAAGCTCTTTCTGTTTTTTTGAGACAAGGTCTTAGCTCAGAATGGCCCTGAATACATTATGTAGCCAAGGATGGCCTTGAACTTCTGATCTGTCTGCCTTAGCCTCTCAAGTGGTAGGATTATAGTTATATGCCATTATGCCTGGCCTCACTGTTTTTTGTTTTATTTATAAACATGTTATTACCAATTTGAAAGTACAAGAACTAGAAAGAAATCAAGCGGAAATAGAGCTGGGACTCACATAGTGGAAGACGGGGTCTTTGCTATTAGAGCCAATATGCTAATATGCCTAAATGGATTATAAAATAGGGAAATATTTATTTCCAAAGAAAGTGACACTACTGTCACTTTTCACCTATTTTAATTCTATTGGAAAAAAAATATACATGTATATATCCTAGTTTACCATACTCTTTCATCCAGATTTAACATATAAAACTAAAAACTATGAAAGTATTAAGTACATCATCTGAAGAGAAGAACTGATCAATGATCTCATAGGCCAATTTGTAGATGTCTTCATTTTCATGATTCTGAAGTTGTTCAATTTTCTCCAGTCCTGCAAGAAAATTTATGAAGTGAAACAATGGCAGTGACAAGTGACAGTAACATTGAAACACATAATCCAATTTTTGTATTGTAGTTTAAGGGATCAAGTCTATAGGTGAATATTAAATATAACAAGATTTAATATAGCACATTTGTTTTAAGACTAACAATCTGAGTAACGGCATGTAATGTATAAGTTAATAATGGGACATCTGTTAAGTATATTATAGATCCAATATTCAGTTATAAGACAAATACTGAAAAAAGAGGTAAAATTAATTGCTTATTAAAAATAAATAAGCATAGCTAGGCGTGGTGGCGCACGCCTTTAATCCGAGCACTTGGGAGGCAAAGGCAGGCGGATCTTTGTGAGTTCAAGGCCACCCTGGTCTACATAGTGAGTTCCAGGACAGCTGGGGCTACAGGGAGATCCTGTCTCAAAAAGACAAAAATAAATAAATAAAATAAAATAAACATAATCTTCTTTCTAGCATCTCCCAAATTCTTCCAATTAACATGCATGAAAAAGAAGAAACTGATGATACTGGCCATAAATACAATCTTTATATCTGTTAAGTACACTGTAAATGATTAAGTCAACCATAGTATTTCAGGGGAAATGAGAAATTTCTTTGTTAACATAAGTTTATTAAATCACAGTCAGGAACATTAAAAACAATATATATAATAAGCTTGATGACATGTAAATTAGATCTTGTCTGCTGTGCAGAAGTAGTAATTTAGATTGCTGAAATGAAGAGAAGCTGTCCCACATAAAGTGTTATTTCACTGCTCATTAGGTAGAAGAAATTACCTTGGGCTCATGTCACTCTACTATTTTTCCTTTTGTTGTTTTTTCCATTAGAAACTTTTGCTACTACACACAGGCTAAAGACTTACAATTTGTATCATCTTCATTTGTTTGCAGAGCTTCATAAGGACAAAATTCATAATGCTTGCCTAGTTCCACAAGGACACTTTATAGATCACTAAAATTCAAACTACCTGAAACACAATTTGTTTCTACTGACTGGCCTTCCTCAACTGTTCATCCTGCATTTCTTACTTCATAATCAACAGTAGTTTGAAATCTGAGAAAGCCTGTTTCCTTTTCCCTCAATCAAATCTCAAACACCTCAATTACTTCTAGAATCCTGTCTTCTCTTTATTTATACTATTACTGCCTTCATTTATTGTAGCCTACCCACTATATGCTTTACTAAGTGGTTTCCCTGACTTCTATCTGCAAAGGACCCATTTTCCAGACATCCAGCTGAACATACCCACTTCAGTTAAAGTGCACCAACAGCCTGATATTCTTTATGACAGAATCCACTGCAGTTTATAAAAATACAGACTCTTGGGTCTTACCACCAATAAGGTAGGCAAAACTCAAGTATTTCTTTCATTTACTGGGCGTGGTGGCACACATCTTTAATCCCAGTAACTTGGGAGGCAGAGGCTAGGTGAGCCTGCCTAGGTCTGCACAGGCCAGGTGAGCTGGGGCTACAGAGAGACCCTGTCTCAAAAGACCAAACAAAGAAAAAAGAAAAAAAAGGAATTTTCTTTTATTTTAATATATAAAATTATTTTATTAACTAAGATAGGCTTCCATGGCAAAAAAAAAAAAAGAAAAATCACATGATAAAAAATTAACTATATGCCCATTACAGCTTTACTTAGTTTTCTAACACTATTACCATTTCCTGTTCCTAATTTGATATCCACACTATTTCTTATTGTTCTACTGATCACTTTCATAATTTTAACTATACCCATTTCTTTTCCCATAGTAAAATAGGACACACTGCCTGTTTGTTTTCTCTTGTTCATTATATTTTGGGGGAACTGAACCTAGGGCCTTAAGCATGCTAGTAAGCATTCCACAGTGAGCTATATATATCCCAGTTCTATAATGTCCACTTTTTACTGCATAAATTTAAGTCTCTGGACCCCCCCACTTAGCTGATAGGGTTCTCCTGCTTTGATTCATTTTTCAGCTTCAGTCAGACACTGATTTCATGCTTATCCAGGCTGACATTCACATTTTGTTCCATAGCCATAAGTGTGTGCTGTTCACATTCTAGGTAGCTCTGGTCCACAGGTAGAATTGGTAATTACGCCCCTACGGAATAAAGGATGTGCTATGTATAGCCTGCTGTGGGGGCGCATGCCATTAATCCCTGCACTTGGGAGGCAGAGAGAGGCAGGTAGAGCTCTGTGAGTTCCAGGCCAACCTGTTCTACATAGTGAGTTCCAGGCCAGCTGGGGCTACAGGGAGACCCTGTCTCAAAAATACTTAAAAAAAAAAAAAAAAGGATGTACTATGTGACAAAGCTCAGGATTTCCCAGGGTCTGGTCACAGGCTGCTTCTCCACCTTCAACCCTTGGCAGTTTCCCGTACTTTTGATTCAGCAATACTGAACTACTTATAATTTGCTGAATGCTATTTCTCACCTCAGACTTTGCTCATGTTGTTATCTCTGCCTGGAACACCTTTCATCCCTTTTTACTTTATTAATCCTTATTCATCTTTCAAAATCCAGCTCAGGTGTCACTTCCTGCTTCTTCCAGGATGGATTAGGTATCTCATTTTGTTGTACATTTCTATTAGGGTAATTAGCACATTAAATCAGTTCATATTTATCTTTAAGACTAAACTACATGCTTTGAGGGCAAGGACTGTGTTTTGTTTACCACTGTTTTCTCAATACCTTAGCACAGTGGCCATTTAATATATGGCAGCAATTCAGTTACCTAACGATATACAAGAGGCTGAACAATTCTGTATATATAGGATACAGTATTTACTTTAGTCTGTCACTTCATTATCTAAGACAGAAAAATACAGAAGAGCTGCATTAGTCAGAAAATGAAGGTAGTTACAAAAAGAACATTAAAATGTAGAATAATATTTTATAAACTTACCACCACATTCTTCTATAAGATTGGCTATGGTTTCCGCCTCATCTTCAGCCATTTTTAATATATTACTTAGTCCATCAAGTACTACTTGCACAACTTGTGCATCTTTTACAGTCAGCAAGTTGCAGAAAGGTGGGATAACATTTTGTTGGATAAGGTAGGCCACCTGAAGAGTAAGGATACCATGAAATAATAAAATATATGCCAATTAACTGTCTAGAATAATGTTGACTTCCAAATTTTGATTATGAAAACATGAACTCATCTCTTTCATACTAGATTACATTTCTAGTCAAACTTCTTTTTAATGTAGCAAGTTTATTTTTCTAAAATTTAGGGGGGGGTATACCTGAAATGAAAATGAAGAATGACTCAACTTCATATTAAACAACTTTTTTCCTCAAGGTCCTTTTTCCTTTTAAGAAATTATGAGTTAAAAATTCTCAATATTTTCTTTTCTTTTTAAATTTTTGTTTATTTATTTTCATTTTATGTGTAGGAGTATTATGGCTGCATGTGTGTAAGTGCACCTTGGTTGTGCAGTGTCCATAGAGGACAGAGGAGAGTGTCGGGTCCCCAGGAACTGGCATTCAGGATGGCTGGTAGCTGCACATGTGCTAGGATTAAAGGTATACACTACCACGCCTGACTAGAGAAACTTCTATAAGATGACTGAAGAAAGTCAAGGAGATGCTTTTATGTAAAAAATTCACAGAGCAGGGGTTGGGGGCGAATCTCCTTGGTAGACTACACACTGAGCATATGAGGGTCTGGGGTCAATCTTTAGCATACGCACACAGGCACCAAAACAAAAACAATCTAGAAAATATAATTTGCTATTATTTTAAATAGTGACTTACTGAAATCTAAATGTATAATTATCTGTGCTGTTATTTTACCAGTTTTCAAAATAATTAAAAATTCAACTTACTTGGTCTTTCCTTCCACTAATTGTTAAGTTACTTATGGCCCAAGCAGCTTCTTTCTGGGTGCCAAAATCCCCCTTAAAAAACAAAACAAAACAAAACAAAAACAAGACAGGGTAAATTGTAATTTTTACTTACTGGTAAGTCTTGAACTACAACCAATCTATCCTGAACAAATGAAAATTACTTTCTATGAATTTTTCCAGAAAAAAACTTGACTTCACATTACTGTTCCATAATATGAGAATAAATAAAAGACATTACAAAAATACAAATTCAAAAATAATTTTCAAATGTACATACAGCCAAACTTAGTAATCTCACTTTTGAGAATTTATCAGCAAAAAAATTTATGGGGTAATATTATACATTTCTAACATATGGAAGAGCATCATATAATAGCCAAAAAGCAAATCAACAAACATTGTTAATAGGGGCACAATCAATACAATAAGTCTACTAAGTTAAACAACCAGCCATTAGAAGTCAAGTCTAGCAACCTGGAAAAATGCTACATTAAGAAAAAACATAGGTCGGGTGTTGTGGCACATGCCTTTAATCCCAGCACTCAGGAGGCAGAAGCAGGCAGATCTTTGTGAGTTCAAGGCCAGCCTGGTCTACATAGCAAGTTCCAGGTCAGCTGGGGCTACAGGGAGACCCTATCTCAAAAAGATGAAAAGTAAAACAAAACAACTCCCCCCAAACTACAGTGGAGAGTGACTGGGGAAGACCACTGATCTCTGGCCTCCATACACATATAGGTAGACACATTCATGCATACCCACTTGTATCCCCCCCAGGGGGGAGGTGATTCCCCCCAGGGGAATCCAATGCTCTCTTCTGACCTGAGGACACTGCACAACATGGGTGCACTTACCTACACACAGACAATACATGCATACATAAAATGCAAATAAGTATTTTAAAAAAAGAATCCTTATGTTCATAAACTCCTTCTACAAAAATACATGTGACTTATTTTGTTGACTCAGCCCTTAGAATCAACGGCAACCTGGCAACAATGATCATCATTTTAAAAATTTATTTTATTATTTTTATTTTATATGTATGTGTGTATTGCCTGGATGTATGTGAGTGTACCCATGTTGTGCAATGCCGCGGAGGTCAGAAGTGGGCTTTGGATTCCCCTGGAACTGGAGGTAAGGACGGTTTGTAGCTGCCATGTGGGTGCTGGAATCGAACCCGGGTCCTCTGCAAGAGCAGTCAGTGCCCTTAACCACTGAGTCATCTCTCCAGCCCCAACAATGATCATCTTTATACCGAACACTGATATGTAAACACCATTCTTTACAAAAAGGGATTAAAGCCGGGCATGGTAGCCCACACCTTTAATTTCAGCACTTGGGAGGCAGAGGAATCTTTTTGAGTCTGAGGCCAGTGTGGTGGTCTACATAGCAAATTCCAGGCCAGGTGGGGCTACAGGGCGACCCTGTCTCAAAAAGACCAAAAAGGGGCTGGAGAGATGGCTCAGTGGTTAAGAACATTGACTGTTCTTGCAGAAAACCTGGGTTCAAATCCCAGCACCCACATGGCAGCTAACAAGTCTCCGTAACTCCAGTTCCAGGGGATATGACAGCATCTTCTGTCCTCCATGAACACTGAACGATACGGGTGCATGTACTTACATGCAGGCAATACACGCATACACATAAAATAAAAATAATAACAAACAAACCCCCCAAAACCTGGGGGGGGGGGCGGATAAAGATACCCCATGAAAGCTATTTCCAGGGCTGGTTAAAAAAAAAAAAAACAAATTAAGATAAGCCAGAGAATTATTATATCCAAAAAGTAGGATAGTCTAAAAAAATTACTGGGTGATATAAAATGACAGGTACCAAAATTAAGAAATTCCACTGGGGGACTGGAGAGATGGCTCAGCGGTTAAGAGCACTGACTGCTCTTGTGGAGGACCCAGGTTTGATTCCCAGCACCCACACGGCAGCTACGAACCGTCCTTAACTCTAGTTCCAGGGGAATCCGAAGCCCTCTTCTGACCTCCGCAGCATTGCACGACATTGAGTGCACTCATATTCATGCAGGCAATATACTCATACACATGAAATATTAAAAATAGAAATTCCATTGGTCAGGGAAGGATAACTTGAGTATCAAAAGAACTACAACTGAAATGGATTTAAACTGCAAAATATATATTAAAAACTCAGTTTCTTTTTTAAAAAATTTTATATGTAGGAGTGTTTTACCTGCATGTATGTAAATGTGCTTGTATATACAATGGCTGTGGATCCCCTGAAACTGGAGTTATGGATGTTGTGAGCCACCATGTGCTGCTGGGAACTGAACCTGGGACTCTTTTGTAAGAGAAGCCAGTGCTCTTTACTGCTGAGCCATCTCTCCAGCCCACAATTTCTTGATCAAACAAAAATCCACTCTCATTTCTTTTAAAGACTGCTAAGGGACAATGTCAAAATATGACTTCTAAAAACGAATGCTAAGAAGAGGAATCAAGCATATATCTTATAGGAAACTATCTGAACTCTATTTTGAAGTAAATAATAGCTAATAAAGAAAAGCTCTCAACTGAAAAACTGCAGCTAGTACACAAAGAATGGGAGAATTAGAAAGTTAGAATTAGCTACTCCTAATAAATAAGGAATCCAAGCATTGATCATTGACTATCTAAAAACCATTAGTTAAAGACTAGGAAAGAACTTTATAATCATGACCCAGTGTGGTGTTACTGCACCAATATTACAATCACCTGGACTCGGAGGGCCCTCTAAGTCACCTAGGTATTTCTTAAAACTGTCTGTCTCCTGGAAATGTGCTGATGGAACTGTCCTGCTGGAACCCTGTCTCTGGAACTGTGTTTCCGGAGTCTGGCCCCACTCATAATTTTATTCAAAATTGTTTCTTCAGCTTCAATTTGGCAAATAAAGCTTGGTTCCATTGTACTCTTAACAGACCATCCTGTTTTTTCATCCCTAGTTCTAGAATATCTCACTCACCCAAGGTTACCTGCCATTCCCAATCTCCACTGTGTTCACTGGAGGTGGGTGCACTTGCTTTCAGCACTTTGATATGTTAATTCTCAAGCACACCCACATTCACTATTTTTTTGGGTGAAGAACCAAATTGAGGTTCCCAAGAATCGGGTGCCCACGTCATAAAACACAAGAGTACATGGTTTTGCTGGGGTTAAGTCATTAATTAGTCCAGATTACTTCCATTTATAAAAAGTCATTCCTATAACCTTGAGATCACTCTTAATCCACCATACCATTAAGAGAGTGTAAGGTCTTCTGCTAGGAGTCATTAGGAAGTAGTAGTGTACTGAATACACTTGCCTCTAATACTCAGCTTGATATGCAAGTTTATAGCAAACACTGAGAAACATAAGACACAGGACTCTATCTGCTTTTTAATCACAGTTAAGTGATGAGAAAAAAATTCTCATTCTATGATGGTCATTGCAAATTGTCTGTTCCCCAAACTCTACTATGAGTGTGAGAAATGATATTCATAGCACTCTCACCAGCTACTTGATTTGAGTAATTAGCTTATACAAGTTTCATCCATCAAACAAGGATAACTCTAATCTTGTAGGCTTGTCATATTAAATGAATATTTACAAAATGCTCAGAATATGGGATTTGTAATTGATTATAACATTGTGGGAGGGGCTGGAGAGATGCTTAGCAGTGCCAACTCTGACAGAAATGAAGTTTCTTAAGAAACTAAGAAAAGGTGGGTTTGGAGAGATGACAGCTCAAGAGCTCTGGTTGCTCTTGCAGAGGACCCAGGGTCAAATCTCAGCATCTACTTGGCAGCTAAAAACTGCCTGAACTCTAGGTCTAGGCAACCTGACACCCTCTTCTGTCCTCTGTGGGCACTGTATGGCATGGATGCATTTACAAACATAACATGCATACACAAAACCAAAAATAAATAAAAATTAATATTGTGGGATTCAGAAGTTTTAGTATCAATCATATTTTACTATAGTGTTCATGACACTGTATAGGGTCTCATTAAACAGAAGTACACATCACATAATACTGTCTTACTGAAACACATATAAGATGATTTTCTTACCTTATCCAAAAGGTGTATTATCATTGGTACAAGACTGGCATCAATTACTGCCTGAACCTGCTGCTGATTTCCAGCGGTGATGTTGGAGAGAAACCACACTGCTTCCTACAGAACAATATTCTTTCAATATTTCTCACTAAAAATAAAACTTATGTCTAAAACTAAGAAAAAGCATTCACTAGTATGTAAATAATCTTATTATTGAGTTCTATAATAAAAATCTTAGAAATCTTAACCAATTCTCTTTTCCATATTTTCTTTTAAAAAAACTTCATTCTATAATTTTTATAAAAATGAAAAACCGCATTTTATGTCTAGAAATAGTTTACATATTAAAGATTCTAAAGAATCTTTACAGACAACACTGTGAACAGTATTGCACAAAAGAAGCTTTGTTGAACCATACCCAGGAAGTGGTGAGCTGTAATACAAATATAAATTATAAACTATTATAAATGAGATTCAACACCTTTTTGTCATATAATGTGCTTTATTCTCTAGTTAACCTTGATTAACAATCTAACCAAAGCAGATAAATCTCAATTAGTATGACAATGAAGACATCAAAAATGAAAGTGGATTCTTTTAGTATCTTTATAACAGTCATCAACTGTACCACCTCTCTCAAGAGCTAAAAGTGGAACTATATGTTGGCTTGCTTTATTGGTCCACTTTAATGATCTTTTAGTGTTGCTCTTAACAAAGATGCTGTGCTTTTGTTAGAATATAGTGGTCACAACTTTCTCACAAGTTTCAAAGATAATAATTGTATCACAAAAACAGCGTTAGCAAGAAACAAGAAAAAAATTTACCCTCTTATGGAGGACACTATTAGAATCAACCAAACTTAAGCTTACCAATTTACTATGGGAAACATTTTAAAGTTTCTAATTAACACTAGTTAGCATCACTAAGCTCTTTTGGATCAGATCACAGGACACATTTAATGAGCCTGTTAGAGATTTTAGGGTGCTGGGCTAGTAAGGTGAGCTGTTCTTGGGTTATAATCATCGGCAATGTTGTAATCAACAACCCAAGTTATTTTTACAACAGCCTCAGATGCACTCCAATATCAGCATCACCATTCAGTGCCCCCTTTCCATAGCCACCACATGCACACACACAAGTACACACACACTCACACTATACACTACTAAGTATCAATAAAACTTTAAACCAGGAAAATTACATATTACAAATTTTCAGTCATGCAACATTCAACACCCATGTATCTCTATTTCATCATTTCCAAGAGAGCCAAAAAAGTGGTTTGTTGATGATGGTGCAGATTAATGGTAGAGCATGTGCTGAGCATGCTGGAGACTGGGTTTGAACCCAGCACCCTATGACCATGTTATAAAGAGATACTTCTCTGATAGCTTATGTTAATAGTCAAAATCATAGATATTCCTGGGACCCTAATACTACAAACAAAACCTGTCATTTTATTAACATTTTCAAACACTTACTTTATTAATTTTTTCTTTGGGATGTGTGAGGAGTGCTGGGAAATGTGAAAGAGCATCACAGTTTAAAACTACTTGTGTTTGCTCATCAGTTCCAGTCACAATGTTGCCTACAGCTCGCAGTGCAGCAGTCTGAAATAGAAGATTTAAAGTGATGTTGTTTAATGTGAAGTACTCTTATTAAAAGATACCAGACAACTTTTGAGAAACAAACTCATTCTTTCATACAATTGCTTCATTATGACTAACCTAACCTTTTTGAATGCCTACTTTGCATTAGGTACTTACCTAAGAGCAATGATGGAAATATGAAAGATATATACTCCAGACTTTATGCAGCTTAAATTATAATAATAATAATAATTATTATTATTGTCTTTTTTGAGACAGGGTCTCCCTGTAGCCCCAGCTGTCCTGGAGCTCACTATGTAGACCAGGCTGTCCTTAAACTCACAGAGATCTGCCTGCCTGTGCCTCCCGAGTGCTGAGATTAAAGGTGTGCACCACCACGCCCAGCGCAGCTTACATCATTTTAAAGAAATAATACTGGGGCTGGAGAAAAGGCTCAGCAGTTAAGAGCATTGACTGCTCTTGCAGAGGACCTGGGTTCAATTCCCTAACTCCAGTTCCAGGGGATCTGACACCTTCCAATCTCTGTGGGTACTGCAGGACACAGGGGCACTTACACACAGGCAGGTAATACACTCATACGCATAAAAAATAAAAATAAATTTTTTTATAAATAAAATATTTCTTAAAAAAGAAAATAATACTTTTTATTTTCTATTAATTTTTTTCACTCACTAATTTCTCCTAAACACAAATGATCCAGCTATTTAAAAGAAAGTTGAGGTACAACTCATACAACGTATTCTTTCAGAGTAAATCATTCAGTACTATATATTCAAAATTGTACAACCAATATCATTATCAAATTATAAACCTTTTCACTATCCCTAAAAGACTATGTATATTCATTAGCTAGCTGTCAACACCATTGTCTTTAAACTCAGGTTTCTGGCAACCAGCATCACTATGTCTATGAATGTGTATACTTTCAAATTTCATATACACAGAAGCAAGTTCATGTTATAAGCACTTATCAGTACTCATTCCTTTTCAAAGACAAATGATGTTCCAATTGTGTGGTTAGGTGACAGACACTAGTCTCACTTTTTAGCTATCATGAAAAATTCTGCTATAGATGTTTGTATTCAAGTTTTTGTATGGAAATGTGTTTTCAGTTCTCTTGATTATATGCAAACAGAAGAACTGCTAGATCACACTGTAACTCTATTTAACTTTGTGAGATATCAGACTCCAATGGAGGCCCACCACTTTACCATGCCATAAATGGTGTAAAGACTACTTTCTCTTCACCTCTGCCCATATTATTATTGTCATTTAAATATAATCATTTTGCATGTCAATGATCTTCTTTAGCTTTGATCCACATTTCCTGATGATTAATGCTTTTGAGCAAATTTTCAGGTACTTATTGACCATTTGTACATCATCCCTGAAAAACAGCAAATCTTTTACCTACTGTCTATTTTTTAATTGTGTAAGAATTCTTCATAGATTTTGGGTATAGATTTGTAAAGATACTCTTCCATTCTACTGAAATGAGTATTTATTTCATTTTTGGAGACAGGGTCTCCCTGTAGCCCCAGCTGTCCTGGAACTCACTATGTAGACCAGGCTGGCCTTGAACTCATAGAGATCCGCCTGCCTCTGCCTCCTTAGTGCTGGGATCAAAGGCGTGCGCCACCACGCCCGGCTATTATTTTTATTTTACGTGTATGAGTGTATTGTCGGCATGTAGGTAAGTGCACCCATGTCGTGCAATGCCCACAGAGAACAGAAAAGGACATTGGATCCCCTGGAACCGCAGTTACAGACAGTTGTTAGCTGCCACGTGGGTCTTCTGCAAGAACAACCAGTGTTCTTAACCGCTGAGCCATTTCTCCAGCCCCATATTTCATTATTTTATGTGTATGAATGTATTGCCTGCAAGAGTGCCTATGTAAGTAAGTGCGCCTATGTCATGCAATGCCTGAGGAAGTCAGAAGAAAACATCAAATCCCCAGGAACTGGAGTAACAGATGGTTGTTAACCCCAATGTGGGTCCTGGGAACTGAACCCAGATTCTCTGCAAGAGCAGCCAGTGCTCTTAACTACTGAGCCATGTCTCCAGTCCCCACATTTTAATTATAAGACCCTCTATTTCCAGGTTGGAGAGAGATGGCTTAGTGGTTAAGAGTACTGGCTGCTCTTACGGAGGATGTGGGTTCGATTCCCAGCACCCACATGGCGGCTAACAACTGCATGTGACCTCAGTTCCAAGGGATCTGACACTCTTGTCTGCCCTCTGCAGGCATTACACAACAGGAATACACCTAAACACATGCAGACAGTGCACTAATATACATTAAAATTTTTTAAAAAAAATATATAAAAAGACCTTTTTGAAATTTAAAAAAAGCATCTTTGGTCAGGGCATGGTGGTATAACCTTTAATCCCAACACTCAAGAGGCAGAGGCAAGTGGATCTCTGTGAGATTCAGGCTGGCTTGGTCTACATAGGGAGTTCTAGGCCAGCTGGGGTTACAGGGAGACCTTGTCTCAAAGACCAAAAAGAAAAAAGCATCTTTGATTTTAACAGGAATTACACTATATCTGTCAATTTGGAAAGTACTGCTTCTCTTAAACAGTCAACTGTCGATTCATAAACATGGGACATCTTTCCATTTATGTAGGCTTTAACTTTTTTCAATGAAGTTTGTAGTGGCCCAGTTTACCCAGCTTGCTGCACAAGAATGAGAATGTATGAGCGCAAATGTTCACACGGGAAATCAATGTAAATGGAGGGGCAGGGAATAAAACTGTAAATGAAGATAAACCAATGGGTATAGCTCATGCCTATGATAATCCCAGCAGTCAGGACGAAATGATAGGGTATCATGGATTATATTTCTGCCTAAATAATTTTAGGAGAAGTAGGGATATAGATTAGACCTACATGGGGACTAATCATAATAATTTATTTTTAAGAATTATGGCATGAAAGTTGAAAAGCTTAAGAAAAGAAAATCTTAGTTATCTGATAAAGCATAAAACATTAACTTTCTGGGATAGAGATGGCTCACCAGTTAAGAGCATTGGCCATTCTTGCAGAGGACTTGGGTTCAATTCCTAATACCCACATAGCAGCTAATTGTCTGTTAACTCCAGTCCCAAAAGAATTGGAAGTCCTCTTCTGACCTTCAGGGGCACTGTACAACACAGGTGCACTCACACACATGCAGGAAATACACTCATACACATAAATTAAAATAATAAAATGAAAAAAAAAACCAAAACACCAAAACACTGTCTCAGAGGACTGGCTAAAACGCTAAGCCCAGCATTAAAATTAATTATTTAAAATTAAGCACTTGGATTTTTTCCCCTGTCTTTTTTAAGATAGTCTCCCTATAGCCACACCTGGCCTCGATCTCAGAGATCCACCCGCCCCTGCCCCCGTCCCTGCCTCTTGAGTGCTGAGTTTGCCTCAAACCTGTTACAGAGCAGTTGCTGGTCTTGAATCTTGATCTTCCCACTACGTCTACCTTGAAAGTGCTGGAATTACAAGTGTGTGGCACTACCATGTCCAGCTTGAAGTAAAAATAAGATATAAACCAAAAGCCTATATCATGACTTAAGTGCCGTAAATTTGGGGCCAGTATGATGGATCAGCAGGTGAGACCTATTGCTAGACAAGCTTGAGGAGCTGAACTCAAATCCCCAGAACTCATGTAAAAAGTCAGGCATAGCCACATGTCCATGAGAGACCCTGTCTCTAGGGAACAGGGAGACTGAGCTTGATACCCAATGTCCTCCTCTGGCCTGTGTGCACACCTGTGAAAATAGACCATGCTCACATGGAATATAAAGAGAGACACAAATTTAATAATAAACATATAGATACTTTGAATCACAAATATTTACTTTTACATGTATAAGCATTTTGCCTGCATATGTATTTAAGTGTGCCACGGGTGTGCAATTCCTGCAGGCCAGAAAGGTATGTGGGATACCCCAGAACTGGAGTTATGGACAGTTAGCCATGTGGGTACAGGAACTGTACCTGGATCCTCTGCAAGAACAGTCAGTGCTCTTAACCACTAGGCTATCTCTCTAAACTGAATCACAAATATCTTTAAACAAACTATTCTTTTAGACATCTCTCTCTGAATCTACCTAAGTGTTCCTTCCTTTTAAAAGGTTAGAGAGGTGGCTCTGCAGTTAAGAGCACTGATTGCTCTTGCAGAGGACCCGGGATCGATTCCTAGCACCCACACGGCAGCTAACAACTGTATATAACTCCAGTTCAGGCAATCTGATGCCCTCTTCTGACCTCTGCAGGCACTGCATGACACAGACGCAATGACCTACATGCAGACAATACACTCATACACATAAAATAAGAATAAACTATTAACATAAAGAAATAAAAAATGTTTTACTTAAAAAAAAAAAATCTATTTTTATTTGGTTTGTGTATGTAAGTGAAGGCCAGAGATCAATGTCTGGTGTTCTCTGCTGCTTACCATCTTGTTTTTTTGCAGCAAGGTCTCTCTCTGAACCCAAAGCTCAGACTGATTGCCTGGCCAGTAAATTCCAAGGATTCTCCTACCTCCCTAGGACTGGGATTATAGGCATGAACATCTGGCTTTTTATATGGTTGCTTGGATCTGAAGATCAGGTCCTCCTAATTTGAAGACAATGTGTTTCTATTATGACTATGCATTAGTGTCACCTGAAGAGCTGGCTTAAGTCTGTATGAAATATGATTTTACCCAGGCGTGGTGGCACACGGCTTTAATCCCAGCACTTGGGAGGCAGAGGCAGAGGCAGGTGGATCTCTGTGAGTTCAAGGCCAGCCTGGTCTACACAGTGACTCCAGGACAGCTGGGGCTACAGAGAGACCCTGCCTCAAAAAGACCAAAAAAAAAAAAAAGAAAGGAAATTTTCCTTTTCTTTTTTTCTTAATTTTTATTTATATGTATGAGTGTATTGCCTGCATGTAAGTTAAGTGCAATCACGTCTTGCAATGCTCGTGGAGGTCAGAAGAGGGTGTTGGATAACCTGAAGTTGGAGTTATGAATGGCTGTGGGTGCTGGGAATCAAACCTGGGTCCTCTGTAAGAGCAGCCAGTGCTCTTAACCACTGAGCCAACTCTCCAGCCCAAGGAGGAAATTTTTTTTAGAAAAGGTTTTTCTTTAAACTTCATAGTTGATTTGATGCCTGGCTAAGGGTGAGAAACAGTGACTTTTGCCAACAGCTTTCCTTAAGTTTAAAACCTTTAAACTTTAGTTTAAGAAACTATTAGTTTAAAACTATTTACCTCAGAAAGTTGGAGGGGGAGCTTGCTGCACCTTCTTTTACCACTGTAGTTTGTCTATTATCATGGGGGTGTGTCTATGTATTTTTTGTGGTATGCAGAATGGAACTTAGGGTTCTGCAGCACATGTGAGCTATAGCCCCAGCGCCAGCTATAGTATTTTTTTGTGAACATCTCACCTCCTCACCTCTTTTCTAGCTCTTTCCAATTGAAATATTATGTGGAGGTTGCCAGGCATGGTAGCACATGCCTTTATCCAGCACTCAGGAGGTAGGAGGATCTCTGTGAAGGCTATAGGGAGACCTTGCCTCAAAAAGATTAAAAAAAAAAAAAGTTTTTTTTTATATGGAGGGACTTAAAAGAATAAAATAATTGGAATAAACAGCACATTTCAGTTCAAATCCTTTATCTCAGAATCAGTAAAGCTAGGTGTTACAAAACTTGTAAGTTAAGTAAAAATGGATAACTTGGGGGAGAGGATGGAAAAGAAAATCAAGAATAGTTTTAGATGCTACCCAAGTTGCTACAATGAGTGATGTTTCTTTGTAGTAGAAATCAGCACACTGTAGTGAAGTCTTGTTGTCTGGTAGGAGAGTGGAGATTGTTAATGAATTAGAGTGCTCTCATCTCATTTTTTCCAACTCCAAAATTAGGATAAAATAACTCACTGTTTCCATCACAGTCATGCTGCTAAGTGAAGAATATACTTTAAACTACTGAAATTGTTTGCCTTTGAATGCCATGCTTAAAGCAATTAGTATAAGAAAAAATTGTTTAATCAAAAGGAACTTACCTGAACTTTAACTTCCTGGTGGCTGAGTAGAGGAACCAAATGAGGAACTATTCCAGAGTCTATTACCATCTGTATCTGTTCATTGCCAGCATCAGTAAGGTAAGAGAGGGCCCAGACTGTATCTACCAATATCTATTAAAAATGAAAATTCAAATCACTGAATATTTTCTCATTAAAAAAAAATTATTAACTATACAACTAATCTAAGATATTCTTCCTTTCTCTTTGTGCCTCAAATCACTGGAACATTAACCTCTATTCTGCGTTAATTTTTATTTATTATTTTATGTTATGGGTATGCATGTATTGCCTGTATATAGGTAAGTGCACCCATGTTGTGCAGCGCGGAGGTCAGAAGAGGCTGTCGGATCCCCTGGGACTGGAGTTAACTGACAGTTGTTAACTGCCATGTGGGTGCTGGGATTTGAACCCGGGTTTTCTGCAAGAACAACCAGTGTTCTTAAGTGCTAAGCTATCTCTCCAGCCCCTATTCTGCATTTTTAATCATACTTAAGATGTATATGTTAACTATGGTCCCAATCCCAGATCAATATGCATACTTAATTCAGCAAGCTACAGGTGCAAACTACATAGCACATTTAACAGGAAAACACTAATAATCTATTTGGATGCTCATATTGTGGACAATAGGTCCAAAGATACTGTAGCTAGAGGCCAGAGAGATGGCTCACTGGTTAAGAGCTCTGGTTGTTCTTGCACAGGACCTGGGTTCGAATCTCAGTACCCACATGGTAGCAAAAACCATTTGTAACTGCAGTTCCAGGGGATCCAATGCCCTCTTCTGGCCTCTGCAGGCTTTGTTTGTCATTGGTGCACTTACATGCATGCAGGTAAAATACTCATACACATAAAATAAAAATAGTAATCTTTTTTTTAAAGTACTGTAGTTAATGTATCTAGCTGGAACAATACTCTACACACACACACACACACACACACACACACACACACACACACACACACAAATACAGCAAGCACAATGGTTTGTAATATTTAAGCTAGGAATATATTTAAGAAATTCTCTAATACCATTAGTTCTGTGCAGGTATGTATATATACCTAAATACTATAGCCTAGATCCTGATATTCCAGTTTACCTTATAAAACTATTAGAGGCACAGGGATGGACTACCTCCTTACAAGTTGTTGGTCAGGGAGCACCTGAGCTCCCCTGCATCCACGACAATTCAGGCAACTGTGAAAGCTGTTGGTTGCTCACAGAACTAGACAGTAAGACTCTACTGCTGAAGAGGCACATGCCTTGTTTGTAAGACACAGAACTCAAGCTGGAATTGAGATGGAAGCTTTTTCCCTGATGGACTAGCCAGCATAGTGTTAGGAGGTACTATGCAGGCTGTTGGGAAAGAACTGTCACCAACAGCTTTACTCAGCTGTGAATTGTTAGCAACTACACCTTCCAACCAGGCAAGATGAGTGCACTGGTGCAATAGAGTTAAGTCTATCATGGGGATAAACAATGCTTTTCAATTGGATTTGATACCCATTCCACAGGAGGGAATTCATGTCTGGTACTGTAAACCTGGTCAAAAGCATATGGCTGGAGAGGCCTGGAGCCCTAGTGAGGAAACTGCTGCTGTTGTTTTGGTAAACAAACATGATATACCTGTCAAATTCCATTCTAATTAATTATGCTTAGGCCCATAGGATAGTACCACTACAAGCCTTGGCCAGAGCAGCTTCTTTTTCCATCGGTCAGTGGCTTCAGAGACTCATAACTGGTTAAAATATTAAGAATGACTGTTAAATGAACTCTTAAGCCATTAATGGGATATCTGTATCAACCTTTCCATGGCTCAGGGAACATCAAGGAAAAAGTAGTACGGAGAGGCATGCAACTGATTTCTGGCCATGACACGGCTATTGTATTCCTGAACTCACAGCAGCTGTGACTTACACAAGATTGGGTCTGTCAACACCCTGTCATGGAAGGGAAAGGGACCTGATGGGGAGGGAGGCATTTTCTTCAGTGGTGTAACCACTATTAAGGTGCCTATTCTCCTAAAAACAATCCCATCCATACTACTATAAGCAAAACAGTAACAACACTAGAAATCATAAAGAATTCCAGCAGTTTAAGCACCACTTACCATACCAATATTTTATGTTATTTTGACACAGGTTTTGCTATGGGCTCAAGTAATTCTCTTGACTGAATTCCCTGGAAACTCAAAGTTCACATTAACTTTACCTAGTTATTTTCTTTTTCTTTCTCTTTTTTTCTGGTGTAATGGGGATTGAGCCTGGGCCTTATTCCTGCCAGTCAAGTGTCAACCATGGAGTATAACTGACCTCATATTCCTAGCTTCTTTAAACATAGCTTACAAGTCACTAAAACTATAGAATAGAGAGTGAAAAATGAAACTGAAAAGCAATAGATTTTCATGGTTTGCTAAATGTATGAATATAAATTCTTGTTTATCCCTCAAAATACAAAAATATTACAAAACACTCTTAATAGCCAAATTGCCAAACTGAGATTCCATGAAGGTCATAAACTATCAAAGATGATTTTCGGGAGAGAGATGACTAAATGGCAACTTTATGACAAGATTGATTCCTCACTGAAATTGTATTTTGTGGTACAGAAATAAAGTAAATGTAAATATATAAAGTATGTGTCACAATTCTTGAAATGGTAAAATATGACCATGACATGATGTCTTGGTATATTCTCTCTCGTATCATATAGGAAACCCTGTACACACACAGACACACACAGACACACACAGACACACACACACACACACACACACAGAGCAGCATTTACTTACATTAACATCTGTGTGATGAATTAAAACACAAAGGGCTGGAAGAATCTGAGGAGAGAAATATGCAGAATTTTAAATACGTAAGTAAAAAAATTCTATAAAATGGTATCTAATTATTTTTCATTATTTACCTCCTGAATGGTTTCCATTGGTGGTGGAGGATCTTTGTGACGACATAAGTTGACCATAACCCATGTAACATTTCTTAAGAATGTTATAGGAATAGATGGACTTATGAATGAAAGTAAAGGCTTTACAACTCCAAGACTTATGACATAATCTCTACACTGAGGCCCATCACCTGTAGAAAGGAGTAATTCAATTAAGATAAATGAATAAACCTTTTCAGAACATAAAGCACTGAGTATAATACACTGCTTCTAATAGTAATAATTTAATCAGATCACTAATAGTTTTAAGAAATAACAAGGTGACACTCTAAGTCTTTGAGCCAACAGAAACAACTTAAGATGCTAAGACACATTGTCACATTCTTCATGTATGTGCCTTTATGCTGACTCAATAAAATGCATACCAGCTCTTTAAACACTGTGTGAATAGAGGTCTGCTCAATAGCTTCAATTTAACAAACTTTCAAATATAAGATGTCAAAATACTATTAAGGAGACAATATATGTGGAAATCTTATCTATGATCCAATATCAGGGCCTGGTGTGGTTGTACCCACCTGTAATCCCAGCAGCTGAGAGGTGGAGGCAGAAGGATCAAGTCAAGGTCAGTCTTGGCTACAGGAGTGCAAAGACAGCCTGGGCTATATGAGGCCTTGCATCAAAAATTAAACTAAACAATCCATAAGAAAGAATACTTTTTTTTGCAGTACAGTATATGGTGATAAGATGTTTAATGCTTTTGTGTTCACATATTTGAATGAATTCCAAAACGTAATTAGAAGTAAAACAAACAAAACAAAAATACCCAAAGATCTTTTAATACCTCCTTTAATAGCTTAAAGTAAAAAATTTGGTATGGAATGCTATGTAGATGAGGCTGGCCTTAATCTTACAGAGATTCGCCTGCCTCTGCCTCCTGAGTGCTGGGATTAAAAACATGTTTTAGGGGCTGGAGAGATGGCTCAGCAGGTAAGAGCACTGACTGCTCTTGCAGAGGAACCGGGCTTGATTCCCAGCACCTACGTGGCAGCTACGAACTGTCCTTGACTCCAGTTCCAGAGGAATCTGAAGCCCTATTCTGACCTCTGCAGCACTGCACGACACGGGAGCACTCACATACATGCAGGCAATACACTCATACACATAAAATAAAAATAATATATTTAAAAAAAAAAAACATTTTTACATGTCACCACGGCCCGCTAAAAAAAGTTAGAAAAAATTTAAAATCCTCCTTTATCAAACTCATGAGACCCCCTAAAAAAGAACTCCAACCACCCCCTATCCTCCTTAGCTCCTTAACTCAGATACCAGAATTCTTCCATTGTTTAATGGATTTCTGCTAATTAACGATGATAAGGAGTATTACTGTATTTTACAAATTACTAATTTTTAATGTACAAAATACTTAAAAAGTTGCATTTAGACCTCTTAGAACTGCTATTACAGAGAAAAATTACTGGCTTAAGTTTTGCTTATTATTATTCTATGATGGAGAAAGGTGAGAAATAAAAATGGATGTCAATATAAAACAAGATCTAGGGGCTGGAGAGATGGCTCAGTGGTTAAGAGCACTGATTGCTCTTGCAGAGAGACCCAGGTTCGATTCCCAACACCCACATGGAGGCTACAAACTGTCCTTAACTCTAGTTACAGGGGAATCCAAAGCCCTCTTCTGACCTCCACAGCATGGCACGACACGGGTGCACTCACATACATGCAGGCAATACACTCATACACATAAAATAAAATAAGTTAAAAAAAGAAACAACCCAAGATCTAAATCATGTTTGTGTTTTATAACTCTTCAAATAATGAAGAGTTGACTATAGAGAAAAAGATAAGGTGATAAGCAACAAAGTTTATTGTTGCTTTATATTTATGTAGTCAGTTAAAATTTCTGTTAGCTATTTTTTTTTTTTTTTTGGTCTTTTTGAGACAGGGTCTCTCTATAGCCCCAGCTGTCCTGGAACTCACTATGTAGACCAGGCTGGCCTTGAACTCAGAGATCTGCCTGCCTCTGCCACCACACCCCCCGGCCCATCTATTAGCTATTCTTAAAAAATTGGTCATGACAAGAAATCACTTTAACTACTGGTAATTTTTATTAGCTAATGCATGACAAACACTTATTAGATTAGCATTCCAAGTTTTATACAAACCTATAATATTGCCCAGTGCCCATACTGCTTGCTCACAGACATTCTGATGGGGTGAATGCAGAAGCCTCAGGAACAGTGGCACAGCATCTGAAGGAGGAAATAGGCAACAATTAAGTCTGAAGATACTATAAATCAAAAATCCGTCTTGATTTTTTTGGCTGAGATCCCAAAAAACAAACACAAATTATCAAAACTACTAAAGTTTTTTCAATTTAATTTAATGTTTGAGTATTTTGCCTGCATGTATGTAAGTGTATCCATGTCATGCAATGTCTGCAGACATGGGGATCCCCTAAAACTGAAGCTATAGATGGGTGTTAGCCCTGATGTTGGTACTAGTAAGAAACCAAAATCCAGTCCTCTGCAAGAGCAGTCAGTTCTCTTAACCACTGGGTATCTCTATAGTCCTGTTAAATGACTTTTAAAATAGTAAACTAGAAGAATTATGAGCAACAGGTTATTTGGTATTAAGTTTTAACACAGAACATCAGGTGTGGTAGTGCACACCTTTAATCCCAGGAGAGGCAGGTGGATCTCTGTGAGTTTAAGGCCAGCCAGGTCTACATAGTGAGTTCCAGGACAGCTGGGGCTAGAGGGAGACCCTGTCTCAAAAAAGGCCCCCCCCCAAAAAAAAGTTTTAATATAGAAACAAATTTGAAAATTTTTTATTACATTATGTGTGTGAGTATGTGTATGTGTTTATATGTAAGTGTGAAGGTTATAGGACAACTTGCAGGAGCTGGTTCTTTCCTTCTACCATGTGGATCCTTGGGGATCTAATTCAGGTCAACAGGCTTTACCTCTTGAGCCATCTCACCAGCCCTATTTAAGTAGTTTTGGATAGGGAAATTTAAATGAAAACAATGAGTCATCAGGCCAGTGATTCTTGGGGAATATGAAGCCTTCTGAATCAGAAGTGATTCTGTTGCTTAACAAGGATGGAAAACACAGAAACAGGTCTATATGTATCTGGACAGAGTAATACTGGACTGAAGAATGACTGTTCTTCCATCCTTGAGGTGTTACTCTGAAGAACACTACGTGGTTATAGTCATGTATATCAACCACTTAATTTTAAAAAGTATTTTTTTATATTAGACAAGAGAGCAATGGAAAACAAATTTTGGGCTTCTTTCTAGCTAGGCATGGTAGATATCTCCTTGTACTTGGAAGATGGAGGCAGGCGGATCATGAGTTTGAGGCCAGCCTACCTACATAGTGAGTTTGAGCCCACCTAGGGTTATACGAGAACCTGTTTCACAAAATAAAACAAAATAACAAAAAGCAGCCTCTTTCTAATCATTAAGAATCACATAAAGACTAGCAATGGTGGCATATTCTTTGACTCCGGCACTCAAAGAGGCAGGCAGATCTCTAAGTTCTAGATCAACCTGGTTTACATAGTGAGTACTAGGGCCAGCCAGGGCCACATGGTGAGACTTTTGTCTCAAAACAAAACAAGAGAATGAAAGATTGGCCAGGCATGGTGGAGCATTTGGGAGGCAAAGGAAGGTGAAGCTATGTTAGTTAGAGGGACAGCCTGGTCTACCTAGTGAGTTAGAGGCCAGATGGGGCTAAATAGTGAGACATTGTCTCAAAAAACAAAAAAGGAAGAAAGGACTCAGTGATTAAGAGCACTGGCTGCTCTTACAGAGGACCCAGGTTCAATTTCCTAGCACCCACATGGTGGCTAACAACTATTTGTAACTACAGTTCTAGGGCATTTGATGTCCTTTTCTGGCCTCCACTGGCATTGCATGACATGGGTGCATTTATATGTACATGTACATGCAGGCAAAACATTTTTAAAAAGTGGTTGAGGGGCTGGAGAGATGGCTCAGTGGTTAAGAACACTGGTTGTTCTTGCAGAAGACCCACGCTTGAATCCCAGCACCCACATGGAAGTTAACAACTGTCCGTAACTCCAGTTCCAGAGGATCCCACAGGCTCTTCTGTCCTCCAAAGGCATTGCATGACATGGGTGCACTTACGTACACGCAGGCAATACATGCATATACATAAAATAAAAATTAAAAAAAAAAGTGGTGGAGCTGGGCATGGTAGTGCACGTCTGTAATCCCAGCACTCAGGAGGCAGAGGCAGGCAGACCTCTGTGAGTTCAAGGCTAGCCTGGTCTACATAGTGAGTTCCAGGCCAGTTGGGGCTATAGGGACCCTGTCTCAAAGGGACCAAAAAAAAAGTAAAAAAAAAAAAGTGGTGGTGGGGGGAGAAGAAGACACTGTGAAGGCTATGATGAAACCGTAAATTTACCTAACAGTTAACTCTATATAAAAACAAAATCATGAAACAAGATATAAATGAACTCAGGGCTGAGAGATGGCTCAGCTGTTAAGAGCACTGACTGCTCTTGTAGAGGACCTTGGTTTGATTCACTCATATGATGGTGAACAACCATTCCTAACTCCAGTTCCAGGGGAATCTGACCCTCTCTGATCTCCACAGGCAATGCACAACACGGGTACACTTACACACACATATAGGCAAAATACGCATACACACATATGTTCCCCCCCACAACAGAAATGAACCTAAAACAAAACCAGTATAGTAAGAGTTAAGATAATTATTCTAATAAACACATATTAGAGTGTAAAATGCTTATTAGTTGACTAATGTATCTGTCCTCTTCTAAATCATAAGGAAAGTAATAAGAAGTTTAGGAGAATGGATTTGTCAGTCACCAGAACAAGATGATTAAAGTGACATACTTAAGACTGGTGGCTCTTTCAACAATCCTATGTGATACTGGGTGGATACTATTCTATAATATAGTTTTAGGATAATCTATGTATCTATCCGTCTATCATCCAATCAATCGATTGCTCAATCAATAATTTATTTATGGGACAGGGTCTCACTACTACAATCATGTGCCATCGTGCCTGACTGTCACGGTGCATCTTTTACCAACTTTAAAAAATAAAACCAGTTCTGTTAATAGCAACTTACTGGACTGAACCACTGCTTGCGTTTGTTCAGATGTTCCAGATGCAATGTTCGTCAAAGCCCATGCAGCTTCAAACTGTAAAGAAGGACTGCCAAAGAACGAATTATTTTAATAGATTTTTTTACATTGGCCTAAATATCTACAAACTCTTCCTTCTACTATTTAAAATGTTGCTAAGTATTTAGTTCAAAAGGTCATTTATCCATCCCCTAAAAACATATAAACCCAACTACTTCATTATAAAGTCATGCAACTTCCCCATATACCCTTCTGAATTTTAGTTACATCTTTAAGATACTTTGCATATTAGCCCTGTTTTCTCAAGTACTTATCTGATCACACTCTTGTCAATTTTCAAAGCTCACAAGGTAAATTTATCATTCAAGTTCGACTTTAGTCATTACCTTCATTTTGGCTTTTCAATTCTATCACACGATTTTTTTTCTTTTCTTTCTTTTTAAAGATATTATCTCTCTATGTAGCTTAGGCTGGCCTTAAATTGAGGCCTCCTGAATACTCTTGGAGGGGAAGGGGAGAAGACAGGGTTTCTAGCCCAAATTGCCTTTGAACTTGCTATGTAGCCAAGGATTACTTTGATCTCCCTGCTTCTACCTCCCAATCATTTTTTCTTTAAATATCAAACTAGAAAATTAACCCTCTCCAAAGAATACATTCTAAATTAAAAAACAAACAAATCAAACTTACTTGTCATCCCTTTCAAGACAATGAACTAAAATAGGCAATATTCCAGATTTTATTAAATCATCAATTGGTGGATTTCGATCACTGGACAAAAGCTTCCTGTAAGACACACACCTCTTGTAAAACTTTATTACATATACTACTACAGTTAAATTCAAATTCACATTTGATATAGATATTATTGTAAATCTGAGATGGTACAAGTATCCTCTTTGAAAGTTATTTTTTTAATAATTTATTAAATGTAATATTTTCTCTAATTATAAAAATATTAACTCGAATTAAATTTAGAGAGATGGTCAATAATTAGAAAACTATGGGTATACATTTTACTACTCTTATTATAAACACTTTTCCCTCAATAAAGCTCTGAATGTGGCAACTAAAGACAAATGTTTTTGTGTGTTATTCTTGTACTTAATTTTAAGATAAAGATGGGAAAATTTCAACACAGCATTTACTTTGCTAAGGAAGAAATTAATAGGCTGCCAAAATATCTTAAAATTATGCATATTAGGTCACAAGGGTCAAAGGACCAGCACACATAAGCTTCAGGTATATGTTTATAGCTGGTAATAGTGTTCAATTCATCCTGCTCTATATACTGGATTAAAAATACAGCAATACAAGGAAATATCCAAAGTGATGCTGGAGATATTAAAGTAAGTAAGAACACAACAGAATTTAGTCTTTCTCAATCTGGATGCATAAGATTAAGGGTAAAGATTTAATAAATAATAATATTTTAGCTCTTTACTGAGGCCAACTGTAGAGAGCAATGGCTTTTATCTTTTGATAATGAAGAACACAGTATCTAAGAAATATTATATGAAATCACTTTGGTCGTAGGGTCTTGATTTGTGTTTTATTTCCAGTAATTTTAGCCATAGTTCTTTTTGCCACGACAATGTAAAGCTTAACATAATCAAAAATAGTAAAGTCTTAAAATCAATTTGAAAATCAGTTTTTTCTTAAGTATCCATGAAGTTGTCTCAGGAACTCCCAAGGACCCATAGATCACAATCTGAACACTGATATCTCAATCATCCATCTCATAACACTAATTTACCATTTAAAAATATGATTTCTCTCATACCAAAGTCCTTTTTTAGTCTATGGCCATACTATCCTGACTGCACCCAACCTTATCAAATTTTTGACCTATGGTATACAACAATGTATTTCTATAAATTCCTTATTGGGTTTTTAAAGGTGAACACATAAAAGTAGGTCATAGAAAATACAAATATCCACACATTTGATAAGATGCTGCATGAATCTGTGAAAAATTTTACACTCTGAAATTCTATTAACTAAGACCAATTTCTTATTTAAGTATTTTTGTATTGATAACCCTAACATGTAGTGTTATTCCTACATTCATAAATATATACAAAGCAACCATTATGTTGTACAACCATGACTTCCCCAATACACTAGTTGATTCAAACTCTCTGTGTTCATGTGTGTGTGTGCAGGCACATGTGTATGAAGGCCAGAGGTCAATCTTGGGTCCCATTCCTCTGGTGCTAACAACCTTGTTCCTGAGAGATGGTCGATCACTGGCCTAGGGCTTACCAATTCAGCTAGGATGGCTGGCCAGGAATCTCCAGAGATAGGCCTAATTACCTCCAGTGGTAGGATTACAGGCCAGCATGCCTAACTTTTTGCATGGGTTCTGGGCATTAAGCTTGGGTCCTTAATGTTTCCCCAGCATACACTTTACAGGTTGAGCTCCCCATCATTTCAGAAGTAAGTTTTTCCTAAAAATATAACACACAGGTTTTACAACTGAAATATATAAAATGACTTGATATTTCTGGCCTGGAAAAACACTACAGTATATGCAGCCATATATCTTAATGTTTACTTGTTATATCTTAATGTTTACTTGCTATATACAGTATGCTCAATTTACTGTTTGACTGATAGAAACACTGTCAGAAGACTCAGTAACCTTAAATAGGGGCTTGAAGATTTAACTTACCTAGCAGCTTGAACTGCACTTAACTGAATTCCTTGGTTATCACTTGAAGCATTCTATAAAAAAGTGAAACAATTTATGATACAGATACATAGTTTTTGAGTCTAGAAAGTACAAAACAGTGAATAAAACGGAACTTACTTGAACAATAGCTTCTAGAGAGGTATTTTGCTGGCAAAAAGAGAAAAACAAGTTAAAAAGTCACTTAAAACGCTGTATTTATATAAAATCTTTCATTGGTAGGTTTTTTATCTTTTTAGATAGGGTCTTACTATGTAGTTCTAGCTGACCTGGAACTTACTACGTAGAACAAGTTGGCCTAGAACTCACAGAGATCTGCATGCCTCTGCCTAAGTGCTGGGATTAAAGATGTGCACCACCATGACCAGTATTCACCATTTAAAGAATTTAAAAAAAAAAAAAAACTTTATTATTTTTATTTTATGTGTATGAGTGTATTGCCTGCATGTATTGAGTGCACCCGTGTCGTGCAATGCCTGAGGAGGACAGAAGAGGCTGTCGGATCCCCTGGGACTGGAGTTACGGATAGTTGTTAGCTGCCATGTGGGTGCTAGGATTCTAACTCAGGTCTTCTGCAAGAACAACCACTGTTCTTAACTGCTGAGCCATCTCTCCAGCCTCCCAGTATTCACCATTTAAAATTACCAGAATAACATAACTTACCACTCTGTAATCACCATCTATATCAGAGTCTTCACAGATATCTTCATGTGGTACATTTCTTCTCTTTAAAAGATGTTCATCTCTTTTATTCTTAAAAAAAAGTCAAAGAAGTTCAGTTAAAAGTGGTTAAATATTTTCATGTACAGGTTAAGCAATCTTGTGTCTACAAACTAAAATCTGAAGTACCTTTTTAAAGAAAAATTAAATGCAAAAGATTAAATCAAACTGTGAACCTCAATGACACTAACTGGAGTCCCAAATCATAAATACTACTTTTCCAATGAAGCATAAACTATGTAAAAGCAAAGCCTTAACTAAAAAGGATAATGCACAGTTTAAGCCAGAACCAAACATGTATTTATTTAAAAGTGCTAAATCATTTTACATACCATCTGGGAGCTTCTTTATCACCCAAAAGCAAAGTCAAGGAAGAAGTTCAGCAGTTCAAAATTAGGGGGATTAAAAAAAAAAATCTACTGGGCTGGAGAGATGGCTCAGCGGTTAAGAGCGTTGACTGCTCTTGCAGAGGACCTGGGTTTGATTCCCAGTACCCACATGGCGGCTATGAATCATCCTTAACTCCAGTTCCAGGGGAATCTGAAGCCCTCTTCTGACATCCGCAGAATTGCACGACACAGGTGCACTCACATACATGCAGGCAATACACTCATACACATAAAATTAAAATATTAAAAAAAAATCTGCCAAAATAATAAAGTATTTTCTAAAAAATCTACCAAAATCAAGGGCTGTTTAAATTTCACTTGGAACATTTGGAACATCTGGGCAAATTTACAATTATATTCACAACTATAGTCTACTTTAATACTTGAAAAATCAGGGAAATAATAAACAGTAAGTTCTTCTCAGTGTAGCTGCTACCTGGTAACAGCAGAACCACCAAGTTTAACAGTATC